TAAATCTACGAAGTTAGTTGCACAGAGTGTGAAGTGATTTTTGAAAGGTAGACTGTGCCTCTTTTAACAGTTTGTGGGGTTTTAAGAAATGTTCGTAATTGAGTCTGAGATGATAAATAGTAGATTTCCGAAAACAAATTCTATCCAGATATGACTTTCATGCCCAGATTGTAATGTGAGATCTGTGTAAAACTCGTGTTTACGAAGGTTCATGGCAAGAGATCCAAATATGGAAACTGCTTCTACATACATTAAAGATCGACTATAATGTCTTCAAATTATTCATGGCAAGTAACAATTAATAGGGAACATTAACCTGAAATTTCTTATGCTCTAATACATCAGAACCATGGGAAAGATAATACTCTTAAAGACTTGGAATTGGTAAGAGTACTGAATAATCAGTATAATGGGTATAGATCATGTTGACGCATATAAATGCAGAACACACAAGACATTTGAGCTAACAATATTTTCATTTTATCTATTAGTAAACGCACAGGCAATTCTTAACATAAAACAAGTAATGGGGGCGTTTGTATCCCGCCATGAAATGAGAAAACATAGTTCAAGTTAGAAAAGTGCGTGCCCTGGAGTACTGCAGATTGAATGCCAATCACAAATTATAAGAGCACGAGCTTGAGTGTTAAGGACCGCAATTTTAGTTGAACCCCTTGACCCAATCGTCACTACAATTTGCCCAACTTCGACCGTACATTGTAAATATTAGTTCAAGTTTGAGTTGTAATTTATTTTTCATTGTAATAGTTTATTTCAATTGTAAAATAGATCTGATATTTATAAATGTTTAGTATGATTTCTCGTCATTTAAATGTCTACTCCTACCACTTAAATTTTTGTTATACAAGCTATTATAGGGGGTATTAGTCTTTCAAAAATCTTTCAAGCTTTCTGGTGTTCGCTCCCCACACCAGTCATTGTAATTTCTTGCTCTCATCAATTGTAATTTCTATCTTTCAAGTAATCAATGATCAATTCATTTTCAATGTATCTTAAATTTATGTTGCAAGTTTTCTACAAATTGTAATCAAAATTTTTTTTCGTCCAGAAACGACCGAGAGAATGCGGAAGGTAGTCCAGCGGAGTAGACTATTGCCGCACGGTGTCCTTTTCTATACCAAGAAGAAAGGCACCCCGTGAAACTTTGTCATGATGGTCTCAAAACTTGCTTTAGGCGATAGTTGTGGAGATAGTAGTGGAGCTTTCCGTCTCCTGGACCGAATTTAAGCTCCTTTAAGAAAGTCTCGTTAGCATAACATCAAAAGCAATGAAAACATCAAAATCATTCTTCTTCGCCACAATGAGAGCATCATTCATCAACTGAATCAATGGAGTCTTTGTCGACAAGTAATAAGAACAAGTAGCCTTTAAAGTAGAATGGTTTTGGTTACCGTGTATTGAAGATGGGAGGGTGTAAAAACTGCAGAAGTCAGTGATTTCACGAGTTTCAGGACTTTTTATCAAATAACTATCCACAACATCTCCTTTGGAAGTAGCCAGTGCTCTACACAGGGCCGGTCCTCAAAATTATGATGTCCTAGGCGATAAATTGTTATGTGATTTTTAAATATAAATGAAGTGAACATGTTTAAAATAAATAACTTATTTTTAACTTTCATAAAAAATAATTTATAAATTTTAAAGAAACTTCATAAGCTTAACAAAAAAATTATAAAGAACATTTTTAAATTTTTTTGCATTGACTTTTTTCTA